TTCCCTACAGCTATAGAAATATCGTAACACAATATCGCCACATTTTCGCGCTAAATATTCTATTATATATACATACATATTAATATATATAATATATCTGTATAAGAATGTAAATTATATCTTATAATCAATTTACTCATTATTTATGATGTCACTAATTATTATTAATATGAAGGAATGAACAGTACAATATTACACAGGAACGCAATTTCGAAATTGATAGACTGATTGTGAGAGATAACTTATGCGGGGATTCGTCACATCGGATACATGTCCGGCGTACAATTTGAATCATCGCTCCCTGCTCTCCGCCCACGCAAAACCTTTTCTATCCACACGTCCATCGTGTTCGACTGGCTCGATGGCAATAAATCCAGACTTACTCTTTATCCTATCGAGGCTTTGCCCGCCAGAGTGCGAGCCTCTGGCATTGTCGCGGCTATATCACCAGCCAAAACGGACGAGAGGGACGGCGTGTCGTGCGACAAGACTCGATGGAACCTGAATTAAATTCTGAGATTTATCGCGTCAATAACCGTGCATTAATTTATGATTTTTTGCGGTGAAGAACGTAAATCCACGGGGCACGCCGCCGTCGCGCCAATTGTTTCGCTCTACGTGTCGGCCCAACCAGAGAAATGGGCATAAAGAGGAACGGCATAGGGGAAGAGAGTAAGCGCGCTATACGGAAACATACAACAGCGCTCAAATCTATATCGATAGAACCAGCGCGGGGTATATGTGCGGCGTAAGCGATGTAAAGTGTGGGTAACGCCGTATGCGGGCGACTAGCAGCGTGTTCTACATCTAACTTATATTGACCACTCAACATTCCGAGCTCGTAAACTACGACGTTTGCCGACCGTTCGGAGCAAAAGCAATTGGAAACAGTATATCGCGGTTCCAAAAAGTCTTTGATGTCGCGCGCGTACCATCACGAGGGAAAGCATCGTCAATTAAAATTATACGCCCATATTTGTTACTTAGAGCATAACACCGCTAAAAGATTACGAGAGAGAGAGAGAGAGAGAGAGAGAGAGAGAGAGAGAAATGCGCGTCGATTCAGCAATTTACAATTTATTTCCAATAAAGATTAATCGACTAGGCTGACGGTTCGTCGTTTGAAATTCGCCTTTCGAATCTTTAATTCATTTCGTGATTTGCCTTGCTACGCGGCAAAGGAACACATCGTCGGGTTTGAATTTGTTTAATTACTGCTGCGCTACTAGTAATGTTTCGCATTAGTCATTATAGATTAATTTATTCTCTGCCGTTACTCATTAGGAAGGGTGTACACATGGTACAAATTTTTTCTCACTCTTTTCGCTTCCGCCCAGATACGTCCTTTGATCGATTAATCGTTTTAATTACGGACGAAACCGCGGCAGGTGTGCATTCAAATTGATGCACAGAGTGGAAGTACCGACTGGTTACAGCCTGAAACGCGCGTAATTCCGCCTGCCTTCTCTTTTATTCTCTTTTACGTTCCTTCCTTTTGACAAACCTTCTTTGAAGTCTTCTCTTCCCAAACGAGGTCGTTCTTTTGCCTTTTTTCACTGCCTATATATATATTCTTCGCTTTCCATCCGCGTGTATCACAGCGAGCATCGTTTTTGCAAGACTTTTCAAACATAACACATTAAATTGTGGTTCTACGCATTATGCATTTAATGACTTGTCTTCGTAAAGCAGCTGAGCATGCTTTCAGTTTGACAGGCAAACTAAGTAAGCAGCAAAAGAAACAATGTGTATCAAAATAGAATAGAAACATTTTAATACAATAATACTTACCAAGTTTTGTCTATAAACAAAGTTATCGACTTTTTAATTTGTTAACCGGAAACAATGTTTTACTATCTGTAAAATGCATAACCGTCGCATAAACGTCCTATAGATGTCGTTCAACGATCTATTTCCTAATTACTTGCTGCTCTTCTGCACTTAATCCATCACAAACGAGAAGATAAAGGAAGAGGATCAGTACTGTCATCTTCACGCCGGCAATTTTTTTCTACGGGCAATTAATTCCGTAGTACGCGGAAAGTGTCATATATCAAAGTTCCGCCGTTCCGTCTACATCAATCACCGTGCATAGTTGATAATGGGTACCGCGCGACATAGTCTTTTGAAAATTTCCAATTGCGGTCGAGAAAAGTCCAGATAGTCGCCGGATAACGGAAGTGAAAGGAGGGATCGGTATATATGCGGTGCGGAATTTTATTCGCGCTACCCCGCTCTATCGGTCGAAAGAATATTTCCTCGCCTTAATCTCTCGTTGAAACGACTGCAGCCTCCAGGGCCACGTCGCACGTTCCAGTATTCCTAATTTTGTCCGCCGGGCGCTACTGGAATCTTAATTATGAGGAAGAATTCGTCGAGGGTGGTCCGGCAACCCGGTCCCAATTCGCCCGACAATGTCGCTAGTACTTTTCTAGAGGATATGAACGTTTCAAAATTCAATTGCGCATGAAACAAATTGAGGTCTCATACGAGTACTGTAATATTGCGATAATGAAGACATAGAGGAAAATGAGAGAATTCGAGAGAAAATAGTAGATATTATTATATACATATGTATGTTATTTCGATAGCGATAAAACGTAATTAAGATATATAATTAAAGTAATTACTTAAATTTTAACAATTATTTAAGATATTTAAAGCTTGTTACTAATAAAAAAGAATGTCAAATACGATTTAAAATAATAATTAAATAATTCTTAATAAAAACCGAGTGTTGAATTTAACACGAAATATCTTTCCTAAAATTCTTGATTAATTGAATTTTAATCTTACACACACCATTTATATTTATAGCTTATCTTACCGAATATAATATTTATGTTACAGAGATTGTAGAGTTGTCAGAGATCCCCAAACTTTAAAATCCAAGGGATATGGATTTGTTTCGTTCGTCAAAAAAGCGGTAAGTGAGCGATACTATTAATCCGATTTATTTAGAAAGTGGAAAATTTATCGTTATCACAGAGATAATAAACTGATTCTACCATACGAACCTTAGCTACGATATTCAAATTTTGCACAGAACATTATCACCTTTATATAATTTCGCACCGTAGATTATCCAACACATAAAGTTATTAATTATTAATAAATTATTTTTATTTTTAAGAAATATAAAACCGTAAGTTATTAGACACATATAATTTTTAAACACAAAATTTTGCAACTCTGTTATTCATTCATGTTCTGTCTCTATAGTATGAAAAACGTTTTTTATTAGTAGAAGAAATTTCTTTCTATTAAAAAAGTTTAATAAGTCCGAATATGTATTACATCAATCGATATGTCTTAATTACCAACAATGTACTTATTCCAAATTAACTTTTTGCTTCAATTACCTTGCAAATCTTTAAGAAAACTTTATACATCACGCTTTTTTATAACGTTCTCTTTTACCAAAATGCGGTCAAGAAAGTCTAAAGGACAGTCATTTTAAAGAAGGTTGCAAAACATGCAAAGGGCATCGATTAAAACAACAATGTTCGTAATTCCATTCCTAAAGGATTATAGTAAAATAATGAAATAACAAATTATTCGGGCACTTGTATAAGCAAAGAAGATGAAAGATGCATTTTATGTAAATCAGAATTACGGTAGTATAATGGCAAGGTAGATAATTTTCTTCCGAGCAGCATTTTAATTATCGCATCTAACTCCGACTGTTCCTAGAGTTGGAAAAAACGCGAGTATTCCTCAAGGTAATAACTACGAAATCACATCCGCAATATGTCAAACTTGACACCGTCCTCTCGGCTTTCGCTGATCAAATAAGGGGGAGGGTCCGACCGTCACGGTTTACAACATCATTTTTCGGGGCTAAATGGAGAGTGGCCGGAGTTTTAGTGTGACCCGCCAAAATCCGCGACGTAAATCACGGCGAAGTTAGATGTACGGCTGAGTAAAAGAAGGCTTTCCTCCGTTTATGGCGGGGTTATTCGTCGAGGCGCCTGCCCCGAAGGTAGACCCTCTCTTCGTTTCCCCTCTGTTTTAATGTCCTATCGATTTGGACCACCGGCGGCACCTGCCTCACACCCGCGGTATTACTATTGCCGAAGTATAAATTTCCCGAGTGTCTCCGTTAACCTCGAGGAACACGCGAAAATTTCTCCCCTTTCCTACTCGCCGCTATCCCCATTCAGGCATCCACCAACCAGTCCCACCGCCACTATATCCTTCGACCGCCGGATACACGTACCTAAATCGCGAGCTCTGATCGCCCAGCATCTAACATCCTGGCTCTTTTAAGATGTACGACGAAATACGAATTCTCGGGATTCTCGTTTTTCTTCAGAGACGGATTCGAAGTCGCGAATACTGTATTTAATGAATATCGAGCTTTATAATGTCCCACCGTGCGCTCCTAATATGGCTAGTATTCATAGTTGGTCCATCAATTTCAAGACTATCTTAAGATACTAATACGGCTGTGTGATTGATTTATGATATCTTAAGACGGTTTTAAATAAGAACCGACTCTATATATTATGTATGAATACCGGCCTATATGTTTCGTAACTATATTACGATCGACATTCATCGCAGGTACGATGTTTAGTACTAGCAACAATTCTCTTGACACGTGTAGGTTTCGCGAACGTTACTTGAATCTTAATAGATAAATATTTATTCTCTTTGTGTTACAAATTTATTTATAATCTGAATGTCAACGAAATAAGAATAACCACATTGCAATATTTGTAATTTTGAAAAGAAAAATATGTAAAACATTTCCAAGAGCGAATATGGTACAATGTCGATGTCGATGCGTAGATGGATCCGTCATGTAGTCCATGCTCTGTCCCTGTTACTAGTTGATAGCCAGTGTATACTTACACACACTACGTAAGTGCTCGGGTCGTTCTAGTTACTGTCAACTTTTGTTGCTCTACCATTTGATCGATAAATCGTGCGATATTATGACTCACGACCTTAAATACACAAAAGCGTGCCTTCATTCGCATAGATTTGTATTCTCCCAGGTATGTAAACGAAGCAATTAGAACGTCATTTACGGCGCATTGGAAAGCGGTACCTTCGTATGTATTAACGTTATTTATTTACGGCTGCAGTCAAAATATCGGATGTATAACAGCCACGTTGACACGTGGCATTGAATATACGCACGGCCATGTAAATAAATAGTCTTTATTTTCTGACGCAATAGGAATATCGTATGTAGCGAATCGCAGAATTTTTAAAACAACAGGTCATATTTTTATTTAGTCATGGAGTCATACAGTTTTTATTAAAAATAGAAACGTTACTTAAATTTTCTGAACTGTATGAACAAATTAAATAAATAATTTGAAAACATTTCAAAGAAATACTCCTTGGAATTTTGCCTTGGAATTTAACGAACACAAAATTCAATCATATTACATGTGAGTGGTTATATATACATATATATTATATAATACATAATATATATTATATAGATATATAAACTCATTATTTATACTATATTCACGTTGCAATAAAAATTATTAGCAAATTACTTGATGTAAAATTTTTTTATTAAATACGAAACAATAATATATTTGCTAATAAAATATGTAAAGTATCTAGCATTATAAGAACATTAGTTAGGACGCTATAACTAGTTTGATTCACTTATATCTGTTTAATTTGAGCTCCGGAGCCAAAACGCAAAGCTATCGACGCAAAAAAGTTCAATGTAAGATTCCGGGGACTATAAAGTGTTGATACGCATATGAGTGACGCTTATCAACACTTTATAGTTCCTAAAATCTTACATTGAATTTTTTGCGTGATGACTTTGCATTTTGGCTCCGAGGGGGAGGGAGCTCAAATCGGACAGATCTGATTTATGCCATAATTTGTTAAAAATACATCTTTTACTGCGAATTAAAACATTTAATAAGAAAATTTACAAAACAATAAAAATTCAATGTAAATAATAGAAAATTTAAAAGAGACAAGCCTAAAAAGGCAAAGTCGATTACAATCAGGTTTTGTACAGTTTGTTTGGTGCAGAAGCTTCGTTAAGGCCACGTAATCCGACGGCGCGTTACTCCGTGCTGGGGTATGACTTAATAATGCGTGTAAAACAGTTGGGTGTCGGTAAGCGGCGCTCCCGTCTGTCTATAGCATCGCCGACCGCGGAAGAAATTCGATTTGATGGGTGCTTGGACAGCTCAAACTACCGGCCGGTGGAAAGTGTGGGGAGAAACGGGAGGCGACTGGTGGTGGTACTTCTGGTACCACCACGTAAACGCCCTGGTCACGCCGGACGGAAGGAGGCAAGCGGCGGTGGTTTTCAGGGGTTGCGGGTCGAAGAGGCGTCGGGATATCGACCGAAGTTTAGAATCGGCTTAGAACGGGGCATTCGGTCGCCTGAGCTCTATCTAGGCTAACCACACGAATGTACGGCATCATATCGGGAATGGAGATTCGAATCGGAAATATTTTATCTAGGGGGTATGCGACGGGGAATAAGGAGCGTGTGCAGAAAAGCTCAGAGAGCCACTGGCTGAAGCGTAGCCCGCGCTGTGGAAGAAAGTAACGACTTGAAATGAGGCAAAGGCAAAGCCGAGGACGCCCCGAATGGCGCAAATGGGTGAGAGTAAAGAGCGACAGAGGTTGGACTGTTGCCGTAGAAGCTGGAAAGAGGCAAAGACTGTAGGAGACTAGAGAGGGACTAAAGTAGGAGACTAAAGAGAGAAAAAGAGAGAACGAGGTACCTATCTTCCCTTTGCCTCTCATACCCAAGAGCTTTTGAACAGTAAACTTTTTCGGGGAATTCTTTGCGTCGAGAATATTTTTAGGTCTCCATCTTCTCAGCCATCCTGCGGATTTACCGTCCAAATACTACCGTCACGATGTCGCGCGAGCGTACATTTCCGCGCGTACACGATGCAAATGATGACGTGTGCCATACCTATTTCTTACCCGCGAGCGCTACGCGTTGCGAATATCGCATTGTACGACTTTTTCATCTTTTCCGCGAATTTTATCAAAATATAAAGATTTTATTTTTTATACGAATCACGTAATGAACGCGTAAGATGGATTGAGTAAACCTATTCCGTGAAACCTATTTCGTTCGAATGTCCATGGATTGTGCAAATAGCTCACATTGCACAGAAATACGTCGATGGCGCTTTCTCCTCTTTGCCAAGGGTGTTCCCGATCCTTCCTTGAGAATCCAATGTCGCAATGGAAAATGTCCCGGATCGCCCGAAGCGGTTCACGAAAATCCGGGGAATCAAGAGTGCAGTCGATCGAATAAAATTTCAAAACGTATATTAAGTTGACCTGGATCGAGGGCCATGCCGGCGGGATACCGCGGCTGAATCAACAATAAGTCGCGGATAATATTGACGTCAACATACCTGTTGGTTTTATCCATGGTTTTGCGTGTGAATGCGACGGCATCATCCCCCGTTTCGCGCGGATGCCGTCGCGATTCTTACAACGCCCCACAATTGTTGTTATAGATGTTGCGAAAGACAATAAAGGAGCTTTCGTAGAGGCACGTATTTTCATTCGCCTCTCGGTAAAATCCCTTAGAAGCATTCTGTAATACGTAAATACACACACACACAATTCTGTCTTTTCTATAATATCACAATTATTATTTATATTTTTTAATAAAATCCACGTTAATTGCATGACGAATTTTATAAAAATATCAGTTATTTTCTTTGTTATTGTATTTCACATATTTATTCTATGTTTTTAACGCGTGTTTCAGGAGTATAGCATTGTAATGTAAGAATTTTGCAAATTTAACTGTAATCGTATCCGTTCATACACATTCGATAAAGTGCATTATAAAATGACCGTTTTACTTTATGCAAAGTATTTTGTATTTCCATTTGAATGCTCTTTGCAAAATCAACGATTCCTTTGATCATAAAAAATGAATTAATGAACAATGTAATAGCATAAAAACCAAATAAAATCTGATGCACTGTTAAGGTATTGTAAAAAAATATTCCATTATATATATAAAAAAAAGCAATGTTGCGAAAAAGAGAGTGGAATAAATTTTTTTTAATATACATACAATATTATAAGATGTTAAAAATGTTAACAAAGCAAATATTAAATGAATATTTTTGTTAAGTTCAACAGAATTAATATCAAAACTAATGCAGCCTTTTACATTTAACAATTAACAAAATTGTTTCCTTTCTGTTTTTGATATATGGATTTTTTTTTTTAGAATTTGCGATAAAAGATACTAATTTTCTCTGTTGTCTTTTCTCAGGAAGCAGAAAGTGCGATCGGCAACATGAATGGCCAATGGCTAGGTGGCAGAAGTATTCGGACAAATTGGGCCACTCGCAAACCTCCCGCACCTAAATCTGAAGGTAAGTACTTTCACATACTATGACCAAGAGTTTTGTTGCATACAACAGTGTAGCATAGAGCATGATTACAATCGTGATAGATGGTTTTCTTGACATAGCAGGTGAAAGTGTTTAATTGTTGCTGCAAACGAATGCAGGTATAATTCAATACGTATTACACATCACATAATCTAAACAAAGTAAATTTACCAAGTTTTTGATTATTTTCTAAAATTTCTTATATATATATACATATATATATATATATATAATATAGAATTCGTGTATACAAGATATTGCCAATGATCGGAACGTAAAAATGAGAAAATGCAATCGCGATTTTATGAGAATTTCATATCCTTATCTAACAAAAGAAAGCATGTTAAGTACAAGTCTTGGATGGCAAAAGCTGAAAGCAATTTTGACGAGTCAAAGTCAGCCTGGCAAATAGAATATCGGTTCAATTTTGGAAAAGAAAATCAAAGGGTCGATACATATTTCCAAGTGCTCCGTCAAAGCGTTATATTTACGTCCACAGCATGCCTCGTCATGAATACCAAATCGGCGCTGCTAAATTAAATATTGCGCTCGTCGGTCGCGAATGCGGAAATTTCGCCGACGCAACTGGAATTCGATTAGGTCGGCGAAATTCTACCGCGCACAAATGGATGCGCACGGTCGCGTTATTCTGTGGAGTTCGAAAGGTCCGCCTCTTGTGCAACACTCGGTGAGTCGTTCGCACAGAAAGCTTTCACTGTGCCATTCAGGAAAGCTCGAAACGGCTTTACCACGAGCGGTTACTCTGCAAAGCGGGCTCTACAAAGGCAGCACTAGCTGTTCGAGTGTTTGTTAATCGATACCTTGAGATGGACTCAACAGCCTTTTTTCAATGGACCGAGGCGGAGGAAGGAAGAAGTTCTACTCGCGTCGTACTATCATGTTTCCAGAGTACTGAGATTGATTTCAAAGCCTTGCGAGCGACAGTATGGACCCTGTGAAAATTTCCCGTAGCAATGGGGGTCAACAAATATTTTCTTTTCTCTCTTTTCTCTCTTCTAAAATGCGTTTACTGACGGTAAGTCGCAAATCGCATTTCAAAATGCACCAAATTGAAATGATTAAATACGATTCTAACGAAAGGAAATTATAATCATCAGAAACATTGGCTAATATACAGTATATGCAGTACGATGATAGAAATGTTTAAATTCTAAAATTTGTGATACACCGTATTTCTACTGTAACGAAATTATAATAAGTACAATAAATTTTAATCAAATATCTTGAACAAAATATTTGAATTGCAAAAGAGATAAACTACTATCTTTGCTTATGCAGCATCATCGCGGCCATGAATGAGTTGAAACGTTCTCTTTCGCGATAGTAATTACTTGTATAATTAGAATGGTTTGAGACAACGGTTGGATGAAAGCCCTGGCTCGGTAGGGATAGTAAGAATCCAATTGAAGTTATGAACTAAACGCATAATGAGCTTGGAGGTAGCACTCCGAGGCCCTAAGTAAGTATTATTATATTATCATAAGCGGCTCTTCGTCGCCGAGTCGAGGACTCCATCGTCCATCCTCGAGAGTCACCTCCGACCCCTCGGCTAACTAATTTCATTCCGCAAGTCTTTAATTAGTATTCGTCGCGAGGCGTCCAAACTTTTTCACTAGGCGAGGGCTCGCAAACTCAACCTATCCGGATTGTTCACCCGTATTTGCATAGGCCAAATTCGCAGAAAGTACTTTCTTGCTGGCCACCTTTACGTGGTTAATATTCCCCGCCGAACGTACCTTAAATTTCTCATAAGAGAAAATAATAGTTTCGTAGAGAAATTTACCTTGTTCGCCTTCTTTTGCACCGTAAACATTCAGTTCTCGTGACAGTTCTCAAGCACGGATATACGTGTTCATGATTAAAAACACAACCACGTGGATTGCATTGATTTATAACTTTTACTTCCACCTTTATTGTTAGAAGTAAAAGTAATTTATTTTTACTTCTAAACGAATCTATATTTAGGATTTCGCAATAAAGCCCTGCATTTGGTTTCGATATCTTATTCATTTTCATTCTAACTTCCAAGATCTTCTATAATATTAACAATAAGATCTAAAAATTCCTATCTTGTTTCTTTTAATTAATACTAAGAAATGTCGATTATCTTGTTACGGATAATTTAAATTCTACTTTTGATTCTTTAAAGCAATAAACTGCACATTATAGAAAACGCTTTCATATTTTATGAAATATTTTGGTTCATTTATAAGAAAATTGCATAAAAATACCAATAAATAACAAAAATATATCAAAATTATTGATATATAACCTACTTAATCATAAATTTTATACATATGATTAAGTATGAAATTATTTAAAATAATATTCAGCACATCGAGTGGATTACAAATTTAATTAACGCAGGTAATTATTGAAAATTTGGATCTTTCCCAAATATATTAAATTATTATCTAATCTCTCTAATTATCAAATAATCTAATCTAATTTTATAGAATCGTATTATAAAATATTTAAGAAGCTTTCCCTCAATATTTTATTCAAAGTACGAAATATTAAAACTATTAACTATTTCAGATCTTTTACTTATTTACGCGTTCAAAATTATACAAGAACATAAAAACATTTTTAATCAAAAAATTTACATTTTTTAAATTAATATTAAAAAATGTATAGTATTTTACTTTATATCTACTTATATATATAAATACGACTTTCAAGTACGTTATTCACATTAAAGTATACAAAATCTTATTGGCGATCTTATGAGCTTTAGCGAAATTTTCAAACTTGAGTGAGCGATTTGACATACTTCAAGCAAATTCTTACATTGTGTCGATGGCCAATCGTATATACAACTAAAAAGTACATGTACGACATTGAGCACTTCAAAGTCATTTCATTTCGCATATATTATAATTCATTTTCCTATTCTAAAGCATTAGCAATTTTTTTCAACTACTTTACACACAAAAATTAGCAACATATAAAATGCCAAACTCGTGTGTGTGCGTGTGCGTGCGTGCGTGCGTGCGTGCGTGTGCGTGCGTGAGCGTGAAACAGCTAACCAATTTTATAATATAAATCTTAAAGAGACGTTGAATAAATCCAAAGTTACATATTTCAAAATATGTAACAATTTAAAAAAATACTTTCATTTATTTTAATATTAATATTAGAAGCATCAACGCTTCTTTATACTTCATAGAAGGACCAAAGGAATAAATTTCTATAAACATAAAGAAAATAATGAAAAACCAAATATTCCGTTAGTGTAAAGGACATAATTATTGAAAACTCAACATAAATTTAATTAATGATTGCTAAAAAACAATTTATTGGCGTTCCTTATCTAAACTGACGTAACTTTATCTAAACAAAAAAATATTTTCTGTTTTCAATAATGAATTGGAATAAATATGTCATTAATATTTTATTTAAATATTTTTAATCTATACATTATACATATGTGTCTCTTTTCTAAACAATGAAAATTCTTTCTTTATCATAAACTATGTTTTTCTTCGCATATCAAAGATTCCTATAACAATCTATTAAGAAAAGATTAATCTTCTAATAACGAGACAAAATAACATTTAATTAAAAGGTTCTGCTTGGCTTTTTTCGTGTATTATGATTTACGGCGCACATCAAGCGACGTATATTGGTATTATTTATTGCAATATCAGAATATGAAGCGTAAATTCGCTCTGTGATAAAATATGATATCAAGAGCTTAGACAAGTAAATAAGTTCAAATGGGATGATAAAAGAAAAACAATGCACCGTAGAAAATATTAAGGAGTATGGAATATATCCTGACTATAACGTAGGCGTGTCTACGAAATGCATTCAAAGAAAACAGGAGAAGTTCCGAATGCAGGTTTATTGGCTAGCATTTTACTCGGTTGAATTACACGCGCGCAGTAGAGTTTATATGACTCCGGACTTTTCTGCTCTTCCATTTGAGTATCTTTCGAACAACGTCTCGGAGACGGTTGCGCCAACTCTCATCTGCAAATTCAAAACGTGATGTACCATAACCACCGTTCTAGGGTTGATCTGCATACTTCAACGAAACGAGAAGACATCACAGCCACTGTATCGAAACTTGAGCTATACTTCAACAAATATCGACAAGGCACACACAGTCGTCAATTAAACAAACCGAATTGAGATAATTTGTTTGCGTCGCGTGTGAATATGGATAGGATATGCCACAAGGAGAAACGTTTGTATTTACCTTACAAATGAAAAGCGTACAATCTTAACAAGAGGATGAGCAATGTATTATATATAAGATAGATACATATATAAATTCTTGGTTATAATATTATAAAAGAAAGAAAAAGAAGCGAAAAGGAAGTTAGGGAACAGTTGGATCGTGCTAGCATTTAATTTGACTGAGTCCCGAAGTTACTCGGCAACTAGGCCAATATTTTATAGCCATGGCAATTAGATAATTTTGCGGTCAGGCAAAAATATGATTGTTGGCGTGTGAAAGGACAAACTTGGATGCGGGTTAATGTCGAAAGTTTGTATCGCCACCGACATCGGACATAGTCGAACCAGGACTTGCGAGAGCACCAAACGATGACGTACACATATCCCGATAACATGGTGTATCATAATAAATGCAACATTTAATGCAAATAAATTTCTATTTATATTTTTAATTTTTTATTTTATAAAATTTCCGCCCTAGAGAATTGTAATAAATTTTATTTAGTCAAAAAATGCATAAAAAATTTACTTTTGTTATTTTAAGAGATCCGAATTTGGCCATACATTTTTTACTAAAATATTTTTTATAAAGATATTTGTTATCATATATTCTAAAAAAAAATACGCATTTATAAAATAAAATGTATAGACCGCATTGAAATTTTATGAACCAATAGAAAATTTTTGTATTTTTTATAAAAATAGTTTGCATCGTGTGTAACAGTACATTTATTATTAGATCTCAGTATATAAGCTGAATGTGAAATGTATATTAT